GCCTGCATTTCGCGCACTCGACACGCACGATCTCCGCAGAGGGTTGCATTTTCGGTTGACGCTGTTCGTCCCACCCTCCGCCTTTAAGAGAGAATTTATAAAGTGGGGAAATGTTTTTCATTAGGACATCTCCCGTGCAAGTTTTTTCCATACATGCATATTAGGACATCTCCCGTGCAAGTTTTTTCCATACATGCATACTCATTGCATACTCATTACACTTGCATCCTTTTGCACTTGGATACTTTCCTTTTGCACTTGGATACTTGCCGTTGGATGCTTTCACTCTTCCACTTACACTGGGGTACGTATAGAAGTGTTAGTGTTCATGTTCATGTAAGTGTTCAAGTGTAAGCGTGAAAGCGTACGCGTTCAAGTGTACGCGTCGAAATGTCAGTGTTCAAGTGCAAGTGTGGAAGTGTCAGTGTGTGAGTGTAGAAGTGTCAGTGTTCAAGAGATTTTCCGGAAGAACCCTTCGGGAAAAAGAAAGACGGAAAGAGCAAAAAGAAGAGGGCAAGATAGGTGTAGTGACATGCACATCTGTCAACAAAGGTGCCGAGGGAACGGCAAATTACGGTGTCAAAAACATGAATAGCCACCTAATAAGCCTGTAGAAAAAGAAAAAGCAAGACAGAAAGAGCAAAAAGAAGAGGGCAAGAGAGAAAGATAGGTGTAGTGACATGCACATCTGTCGCTGGAAACTGCGTGAACGTTAACTGGAAAAGTGGAAAAGCGCTGAGGTATCAGTGGAAATTGCCGTTGGGCCGGCAGCATAATCTCAGTTGATCCGTGAAGGACAGTTAAGCTGTTAAGGCAACCCAGTGCAAAACGTTGTGCAGAAAGCGGCAGTCCAGAGTGGTCTCAGCGCCCCTTGCGGGGATCACACTGCGCACCCAGGTGGGAAAACGCAGCAGTACACACTTCGATAGAAAAGTTCCGGTGAAGGAACGTACATTCTAGTGTGCTTCCGTGGTGACTACGTAGGACTTGACTTGAAAACGGAAAGGTGGTAGGCGGCGTGCTTCAGCAAAGCTTTCCGGAAACTAGTTGCTGAATACTTAGCACTCTTGAATCAACGGCATGCATAGAGAGGTAGGTTCCATAAGGGGGCGAGACAAGTGAAACTAACGAATCACTCCATTAGAGTAGAAAAGAAAAGGGAACCGACAGACAAGTCTGCCGACGAACCCTGCCTCCTGTTTTTTTGGGTGAGACAGAATCACCCACTAGACTAGTGCAGGTAATTTTTTTAACAAATAGCTAGCAAGCGATCACCGACGCCTCGTCCTTCCTGAGGCTTCGCGCGGATACAATAATTTCCTACTAATGGACCTACAACGGCCCGAGAGCCTATCCTGGCAATGGCAACACTGAAGATTAGGGTACTCACCATGGATGGTGTGGGTATAGTGGACTTTACGCAACAAAGGGTGTCCACACCCTTGATTTTCAGCCTCTCCACCCACTAAGAACTTCCAAGTCCGTTAACAACCGATAGCGGTTTAAGACAGTAGGGCATTTGGTGCAACGTAAGCCTTTCTCAAAAGGAACCCAACTGTGGCCCCCCAAAGCGCTTGACAAGAGCTTGGGTAAAGAATTCCTTTTTGGCACATTTCCACGTGGAAACCTTTGGGGCAGTGGATTCAGCAGTGAGCCAATACCTAATCCGTGGCAACATCCAAGCTGTCAGCCTGGTGACTCGACCAAGAACCCAGCCAGTAGCTTCAGCTTTGGCATAGGGCGCCACAGATTGAGCGGTGATTGTAGCGAACTCATCCGCATATTAATTAGCATGCCAAAGATGCTCAGCAAGCGTAAGGTGAGATTTAACCTTGGTGAGAAGCACTCTCTTGCTCAAGTGGGCAGCAACACCTGCCCTTAAGTCACAATGCGGATTGCTGATTTTGTGGGGTTTGCACTTCAACTTAAGGTACACATTGATCACGAAAGCAGCATCGACAGCAACCAACGCTTCAAAGGTATCTGGCAAGAAACGACTCAACTCCAGAAGCTCAGCGCGAGCAACTGTGTTGGGGCTTCCATCATCACAAATGCGCCCAGTGATACTACCAATAAGGACAAACTCATCATCAACACATGAAACAGCAACAACCGACCACGCACACTTTCAGCCTGGGGTCTTTGGTAAAAGGGCCGGCGGCCACCGCTGCCATCAGTGGCAAAGAAAACTTCTTGCCCCTCAAAAGCAGCAGGGTCAAGAAAGTATCCGGCACGAACAACTTCTTCAGAAGTGATTGGCTCAGCAGTGGTCCAAGCACGGGGCACCAACCCCCTTAACCAAAAGTGCTGGCTCTCAGGGCGACAGCACAATCCAATCCAGGCCTCCGGAACAGGGCCACAATGCTCAATGCAAGCAGCGCACTTATAGAGCATGTGGTGTAAGGTTTGTTCAACATTGCAATGCTAACAAGTCCTTTTCTGAGAGTTTAAGCTGTGTTGCAATGCACCCTGCCACCATATCTGCAACATAGCAGCATCTTTCACAGGAGAGTCAGTAAACAACTTTTTATGAAGAAAAACATCAAGACCAGATTCTAAACCTTCGCCAAAGAATTGACGTGACACAATCTGATTTTGGCCGCGCCGCATGGATGCCAACAACCCAACTTCAAGACAAGTGAACTCCCTGCCAAAATCTATCTGCCATGGAGCACCAAGATCATCAAGCCAACGATCAAGCTTGGAAGCGTCCCCCTAGTGCAGGCACATGGCAAGTCCCATATCCCGCGATATCACCCAGCTTCGTTGGTCAAGGTTGGTGATATCGCGCCTTGACCCCTGCTTGTGATTCAGTACGAGAAGCGGAAAATGACGGAAGACCCCTGGAGAGGGGGTGTGACACACACACACACCCTACCCGGGGGAAAGGCATTGAATATGCACAAGTTCCCACGCAATGTTGATAAATTTGGCGCTGTGCTTTCACCACTGTGAATGTTCTGCATCCAAGCCCTGATGTCCTTTTCCAATGTGTAGGTATCCATTGCTACCGGCATCAACATCGCCGCTTTGGCCAAGGCCGAGGCTGTCTGATGATCCTTGGCTTCGGCAGGGGTTGAGCGGGTCCCGGCTGCAAGTGGTCAAAGTCTCAGTCTTAAGGTCTCGTAAACTCCCCCCCTGCGCGCCCTTGCCCTGCACCATCAGAAAAATGCGCCCCCGACTACTCACATGCACAAAACCAGCCTTCAAAATCTACCAGAACAAACGGCCTGTATTGCCCAAAAGTCGTGGCTTGTCGCACGGCCGCGGCCTTGGTCTTAGCTTTCACCTTGGTCTTAGACGGGTTGAAAGCCTTCCTTCCTTCACATTCTTGCCCAACCAAGATTCCTGAAAGCCTTCATTCGGAGCCAGAGGCCGCGGAGGCGACATATTACCCAGCTGGAATGGGCTGGCTCCCCTTGGCGGCGTGAGCGTTCGACCGTCGTTCACATTTCACGGCAATGTAATTTAACTATCAAGCACCCCGCCGATCACGTTGGAGAGTTTTCCTTTATATAAATTTTGTGAATTGTGGTTACAGTTGCTTTTCTGCTAATACCACGGTGATGTGCAGGTTGGGCAGCGGAAAGCACAAGGAGATCACATGAAAAGTTGAGCGATCGTGGACTTTGTCATCCAGAGTCATCAACAGCTCCTTGTTTGACTTGTTGGTCCGGAAAACATGACTGACACCGTTCAGCTTTTGGCTCGCCTAGCTCAAAAGTCAGGTCACAGCTCAGATGGCATTGCATACTCTATAAGTGCTCGCACATCTTCCATTATACCTGGAGTGAGCGCAGACTAACAGATCCCAGGGTGCGGTTTTGCAAGCGAACAATTAGAATCACACTGAAAGTTTCACAACACACTGTCCTAAAACTAAAGGCAAATGTGAACTCGGCCAGTCATAGCCCCGAGAAGAACAGCTGAGCTGCTCCATTCGTGATCACATGGATATTCTTCATCTTCACTCTCTTCATCTGACCCTGAAGGGCTGCCTTGGGGCCAGGGGTCATAGAGCAGGGTCAGCTGACAAGGTTCGACAAACTAGTCCAACAAGTGAACAATCATAAAATCTGGAAAGAAGTTCCTGGAGAAGACTTGGTCAAATAAAACGAGGGGGGGTTGGCGGGGCTTGGTGAAGAAACATAAAGGAATGCAAAGGGGAAGCGAAGCACAAGAGCAGGAAACTTGCATACGGACCGAACACACCATTCGCCTAAAAGGAATCAACCATGCGTGTGTGCGTGTATGTATATATATATATATGTGTGTGTGTGTCTGTGTATGTATATAGGTTTCCAACTGCTCTTCAACATGCTGTGGAAGGTGCATGACAATGAACATGTCACTCTCCTATTACAAATGGTCGAGCAACAGTGGAATCTTCACCAAGATGAGGCTTTCACAATGCAACCGAAACACAATGCTACAGAGAATGGATGCAACAAGCAAAAAAAGGCTGCAGAGGACTGTTCAGAACATTGAAACGGGATGAACTCCTGTATGAGCGACCTTTTCAAAGTCATCCTCGAGCTGAATGCATGCAATTGAGAGTCCAGCAGTGGGGGGGGCATATGGCAACATGCAGAACAAGCGCATGAACCCAAAACTCTGCAAGCTTTGATCTATAAAGGCCAAGAAGCTGCACAGGCGCTGAAGCCTCTCAGTGTGCATCATGTTTGGAAGGTCATCAAGACGCTTGGACAGAAAGCACCGGGACTTGATGGAGCAGGTTATGACGTTCTCAAGGCGCTTCCCTACCAGGCTATGCCAGATCTCATTGCTTTGTTGCACAAGATTGAAGAGACTGCCACAGTCCCCAATCAATGGCAGGCATCCCTCATTGCTCTGGGGCCAAGAACAAGGAGATAGAAAGACCCATTGCTTTGGTGGCTTCACTTTACAGATTGTGGTGCAAACTCAGGGCGCCATACACGAGGCAATGGCAGCTGGACATCAAAGACACCTATCTTTGGGAAAGAGCCATGCCGGGCACAGAATGTCGGCAGGTTGCGCTGAAAAGAGCCTTCATGACTGAGCATCATCATGCAATGAAGCGCACGGTGATTTCGGTTCTGCTTGAAATGTCCAATTTCTACGACAGGATCAATTTGGACAAACTGTGTGAACGCTGGCTCCACTCCGACTACCCAGGACTTCATGCGGCCCTTGCCATGCAAATTTACTGTGGCTCCAGGATCCTCGAAGCAGAAGGTGAAGCTTCAATGCCATTGTGGGCAACACATGGCATCCTGGCAGGTGATCCAGCAAAAGATATCCACAACTACACACAGACCTGTGGATTGACGCCCTCAGCTTTGATATAGTGGACAAGGATCCTGCAAATGCTGTCCGGATTGCAATTGCGGCCTTCAACTATACGGTATACATCAGGCAACTCTTGGAGCAGGACAACCTCATGATTTCAGCAAAGAAGACAGGTTTCCTAGTCTCAAATGCCACGGCCAGGAAGCTTTTGGAAGAGCAACTTCCAACCCAAGGCCCTGGTGTACATGATGTCATGAGAGATTTGGGTGTAGATTGCACGGCAGCTCGACTCAGAAGGATTGGCACAATCAAGGCTCGAAGAAGCAAGGCCTCGAGGAAGACCAGGACAAAAGGCCATCCGACTCCGACTATACAAGGGTAGCATCCTTTCAGGTATAAGCTGGGTGCACCAGGCCATGGGTTTGGCTCCACAAGTTCGACTCCGCATCCGAAATGCAATGGGGCGGCAGATGGGCCTGCAGAAGACAGGCAACCTAGATTTGGTCTATGACATGCAACCAATGCACCAAGACCCGGATTGTGGTGCTTTCATTGACCAGAAGAAGATCTATCGTCAGTTTGTTGGACAATGGCCTGAAGCCTTGGCAAGAGGTCATGTGGAAAGACTGGCAAATGCCAAGCACAGGTGGCAAGTAGCCAAGGGCCCTGTAGCAGCCATGCAGTGCTACCTCCGTGACAAGGGCTGGAATGCAGACAGCCACATGGAGTGGAGCAAACCAGGAGTCAATGGAGACCCAGACTTTAAGCTGAACATGCAGCAAAGCTGGTATGCCATCAAATCTGAGCTCAAAAGGGCAGAAGAAGCAGACCGTCTGTTGCGCATAAGCACAAAGAACCATGCTACAAGAGATTCAGAACAAGCTTAATTGGACACCATGGAGGAAAATGACCAGGCACCTCAACAGCCAGAATGCTGTGGCCTTGCAAACTTGGCATCAAGGGGCGCTGTTCACTCGCAAGGCAGATGGTGAAGAGGGCAAGCATCTGACTTGTCCACACTGCAAGCAACCAGCAACAGCAGTCCACCTGATTTGGCTGTGCAAGGAGACGAACAAGGCCTATCCGGCTTTGCAACAAGAAGATGTCTTTGAGCTTGAGCACGGGCTCAACCTTGAGTTCTGGTCACAAGGACTCCTTCAGCTTCCGCCTGTCTCGATCTCCACAGGGGGGCCTTCAGTTCAAGCTTGGGGAACCTGGACAGTGCAAGATGAAGCCATTGTGCAGCATCCTGATGTTGTGACCATTGGTATAGCACGAACGTCTTCCAATGCCTGGCTACAGCATTTTGCAGTAGCCATTGTGCATCATACGGTGGTTGGAGGACGGAGTGGTTGCAATCCTCCCAGGCAAACAATCCTGGGAAAGGGCATGGCCTGCGCAACAGGGTTGTGGTCCATGTACAAAGCACCAGAGCATGGGAAGCATGGAACCACTCCAAATACAAAGATGTTTTCCATGACTTGCAACAAGAGCTTGTCACTTTCGATCAGCTCAAGCGCATCAAAGCCTTGTGCATCACGCCCAAGCAACTCAAGGAGTTGCCCAAGGGTGAATGGTCCCTGCGCAATCGTCTTGCAGATGCGGGGAAGGCAGCTCGGGAAGTGCACTTTCTTTGCAGCCCAAAGCACAAGAGGCAGAATTGAAAAGTCAAGATGACAAGTACAAAAGAATTGCACCTCTTGCAATCCAGAGGATCAGACACTTGCTGGAGAACAAAGACCACTTCATGCATGAAGTCCGCAAAAAAGGAAAAGAGAAAAGGAAGAAGGCAAGAGATGAGAAGGGAGACTTGTTCAATATGCTGAACAAGCCTGTCCGACCTGATGGCCATGCATGGCATCCCAAAGGCCGCAGCATGCAATGCCAAAACTGTCAGTTGAGGCTCACGATGCACAGCACGAGTCAGGCACTCAGAGATGGGCATCAAGAAGCATGCAGTCAAGCAGGCCCGGTCTCCATTGTTGGAGGGCAGGCGATGGCTGGTGATAAGACCGGCATCATCCAGCAAATGGTAAATGGAAACCTCCCCAACATGTCAGCACATCAGTTTCAGGTGCAAACCAACTATGTGGTATGCACGAGACGCAGTCAGAGAGCCCTACGGAACTCAGCAAAAGAAGAGTGGGCGCCGCCAGCTGACTGGCTGGGAAGTCCCACACACAGATTGTGGAGGAAAGGAGGCCAGGTCCAATGTGTGAACTGTAGAGCAGAGGACATGGCTTCGAAACAAGCAAGGCATTGCTTAACATCAAAGGAAGTGCTTCCAAGCAGACGAAGTTGCCAACATGTTTTAGGCCGAAAGGGGCCATCGACTGAGTAGGAGCAAAAGAAGTGAAGAAACATATTTTTTTAAAAAAATATATAGTTATACATATACGCGTGAAAAGATCAAAAGAAACCAAAAGATTTCTGGATCTGGTTTGTGGTGATTCAGTTTCTGTCATGATCAGCAATGGCATATAACTACACTTAAATGGTTGAGGTTCATGGTCAACTCATGGACTGTCGAACCACATCAACTGCTCTCTGTCAACCACTTTCATGTTCCCTTCAAATCAACTGATTTCAATTTTAGCCTTTTCATGTTAATGCCAAATCCTTTGAGTAATAATTCGTTCTTCGCGAATCCTGGTCCTACCCCTCTTCTTCCTGTTTGAAAACAATGCTCTCATCCACCCCAGCCCACATTTCGATTCCAAGAAGGGAAGGGGGGTCATGGGCCCGCGAGTTGTTGCACTTGATGAAGAAAATCAATTCACCAACAAACCACATTTGCTGATGATTGAGGCACCTTCATCAAACAAATAACATCTCAAAACAGCTTCATCCTCCAAATGATGACATCGGGCTATGGAAGGACCATCTTCATGAAAGTTTCAAAAGAAACCTCTTCCTTTACCTAAAGCACAAAGAAACCATAACTGCAGACCATGGAGCCGGACCTACCTACAGTAGATATAGAGGGCGAATAGACTCTCCACTGTTGGTTTCTGACCCTTTTTTGACAGCTTGAAAAAGGCCTCCCACTCGAGAAACAAAACTGCATAGACTATGGAGCCAAACCTGGATAGCGAAGGCAAAGAAAAAACTCTTGGAGTCTTGGAGGAGTTGTTTGTGCTCTCAGAATGTCGGCAGAGTTGCTCAATTCGTCGTCTGAGTTGTCTGAACCATCTGCCAACATTGCATTATGATCGAAAGGCAACTGGTTCTCGATGTCCTGACAGCATTCCATCCTACACTGAAAAAGTCTGCATACCCTGCATCGAATATCATGTCAACTTTCCAAGCAATTGCAAATGGATGTAGATAGTATATGTCCATATTCGTCGCGACTGCTCAGATCCTAAGAAGTCGGTCAGCAACACCGGAATCAAGGAAAGTAAAAGGAAGCTGTTACTAAGAAGAGCCTATGAAGTCGCAAATCAGTAGCCAGTGGGGAAGGGCACTGGAGGCATCAGGTTGTTTCATGTCCCCTGAGATGTTCTTACCACTGGTCCTTGGATGTCAACTTGCTCACGCTTTTTGGAAGGCCTCTTCCCAAAACTACATCTTTTTTCTGTCTTTCTTTCTTTCTTTCTGTCTGTCTCTGTCTCTGTCTCTGTCTCTGTCTGTGTCTGTCTCCGTCTCTGTCTCTGTCTCTGTCTCTGTCTCTGTCTCTGTCTCTGTCTGTCTGTCTGCCTTTCTTTTCTTTTCTTTTCTGTTCCTTTCCTTTCCTTCTACCACATGAGAGTGTCCCGATTGGATAGGATAACCTAGCAACAGCCCAAAACAAAAACACTCCCTCCCACCCGCCCCACTCCATGACATATATATATATATGTATACCTTGTCGAGTTGGCGCTGTGTGCAATTTCCGCCGTACTAACCCCAACCATTCTCCCCGCCTGGCAGAACATGTCGTGGCCGTGCGGAGTACAAACTAAAATCAAACATGTGTGTGTGTGTGTTATATGTCACACACTACCGCGAAACCACGACAAACCACCAGGCGCTCGGCGTCGAATATGGCAACTAGTTGCAAATACCACTGCTGCACTTGTCTGTAAGTCAGGGGCGGACGCATCATAAACTTGATGTCGTAGCTTTGCAGTACTGGGGTTCCCCCTCCTTCCGTCCGGCCCAGCTAAAATCTACAAGAAGTCTGCCTCCTCAGAGCCACTCATCCCCCGCAGGTAACTCAGCACATGTCCACTGTGTTCGCTCCCACCACCATCCTCAGATGAGATTTTGGCACTGGTTCCTCACACTCATGCACTTAAACTGATTGGTTCTGGTTGGAGAATCGCACCGAGATCTGCGCAGCCATTGCGTGACCTGTATTAACTTTGGCTAACGCCCAACCCAGGCACATCCATGCGAAATTAGTAAATCGGCGCGCCACGATGTTGGTCGCACCTTGCACACTTCACAGCTGGTGAAATGGTTTCTCCAAAATAAAGCTGAACATGAATGAATCTAGCAAAGAAGTCCTCTGCCAGCCTGGGCCCTAATCACAGCCCTACGAATGGTAGGGACACTCTTCTATCACAATCCGCCAGCACATGCCAGCGCTGTGTTTGTTCGAAGCCCGAGTGGGTTGCAACAATGTCTGGGGGCAGTCATATACACTACGGATTATTACGGCTTCGAGAATGAGTAGTCAATCAAGAAGCAATGTCAGAAGTAGAACATCACATGGCATCATTAAAGCAATTGTACAAGGATCTTGGGGCACTGATTGTGTTTGTATGCAGTCTTGTGGGTATGACATGCGTTCTTCCCGCTGGACAGCAACAACAGAAAATTCAAACTTTCAAGGTTAGACTCACTCGGCTGTGCCACACGGTGTGGTATCCGAGGCCTGATGCCAATGGCGAAGCGAAGCTCGAAGCTCAACACTTGAGCCACTTGAGCCGCTTGAGCTTCAAATTGTGTTGTAATTGTAAAGTTTCCCGCGCCAAGGTGTTCATGACTGGGAAAAATTCCAGTGCGGTTCTTACCCCTGAGTTGATGGTTTGGACCCGAGCGAATCCCGGGAGGTCGAAGCCGATTGGCATCAAGTTTGTTTCTGCGAGGTGCACCAAGAAAAAAGGGAAGGACACCTTGCTCTTCGAGGGTTGCCAAGCTCCATGAAGCACAATTGACAATGCAGTCCAGGGTAGGGTGATCGTCTTTTTCGAGGCACACTATTTAGGCTGCCTGGGGGCCAAAAAAAAGGCCTTACGAGACATCCTATAACGACGCGCCAGGTCCGCTTTTGGGTGGACATGTGTGTGTGTGTGCGCGCACATGCAAACCGTATATGCTGATCTAGTTCGCGGTCCAACACAAGGAAACAAACATCTTTGCACAAAACTTTAAAAATAGTTGAACTCCTAAAGGCCATTGAGACGATCCTTCCTTGCCTGATCAAAATGCCTTAGTCTCTGAATATTAGGTGCAAGATTGTTTTGTTGTTATTGCTGCTGTCGTTGGCGTTGTCCTTGTTGTCGTCTTCATTGTTGCTTTCATTCTTCAAGCCACCGCTGTCACTGTCTGACCGAGGGCGAGAGGCATAGTGTGACCGGAAACGTTCCCTGTGCATTTTGGGTCGGAAAGAGTCGCTTGGCAAGTTGATAGGGCAGTAAGCCAAGACAAGCACGTTGGTAAGCATATGCTTGCGTTGTGCCTTATGGTAGTTTGTCCGCCAAACCCAACCACATCTATATGCAAAAGCTTCAACGTGTGCCAACCACCATCCATCAGGGCGCCGCACATCGTTCGTATGCCAGGAATCGCCAATTCGGCCGGAGCCGAGAAAAGGAGCGCGCCCATGCGTTTCGAGCCGATTGGACTCGGCCGGCTACCGGTGTTTTCACATTGGTATCGGAGCCCTGGCCACAGGGCCAGGGCTCCGGGTAGGAACCCGGCGCCGCAATGCATGCCGCCACATCATCGTCGTCAGACCATGGAGGTCTTAGATTTTTCTCTGGTGAAACGGTGGGCAACAAGGAGTATCGCAGATGGAAAAACTGGACGCAGGCAAAGATGATGACGCTTGGAAGCCAAGGGCGCGTACGTGTTCATGCTCCTTAGTGGCAAGGCATTAGTGCATGGAACACCACGATCCTGCTGTGTACCAGAAGGAAGGTGGAGAGAAAGCCCTGTTTGGTCTTCTTGATCAGCGCTTTCCTCAAAAGGAAGTCACCGACGAAATGTCGAAGTCGCTCACCGAGATCTTCAATTTGAGGGCTGCCGAGGAGAGTCCCTCAAGGCATGGATCAGCAGGGCGACTGAACTTTTTGACCCTGCATCTCATTCAATGTTCGTGACGTGGTTGGCTCATCCTTCGTCATCGATCTGGCCCCAATGAAGAGCACAAAGCAATTATTCTGGTCGGGGCGATGAAGCGAGAGGAAATTTGCGCAGCTGTTATCAAGAATACGTGGCGTCCAAAAAGAAGTCTGGAGTTGGCGTCGCTTTGTTGGAGGACGATGACACTCCACCTGAGTTCGCTGATGGTGATGACTTCAACGACATCGAGCAGTTTTTGGCGGAATACCAAGGCCAGAAGCCTTTGAGGAACCCGGCGTTGCAGAAGCATTTGGCAACGAGCTGGCGTGACAAGCGCCAGGAGTTGTTCAAACTACACAAGGCACGCTGGCCGCGCCAATGGGCTGAAACGTTCATTCCAGGTTGAGGTCGAAGAATTCAAGAGCAAGACACGCTGTCACAAGTGTGGCCAACTTGGCCATTGGTCGCGAGAGCGTCGTTCTGGAGGCGCAAATGGAAAAGTAAAACGCAAGACAAAGGGAACAGAATCTGGGGCAGCCGCCGTTGAGACCACTGAGGTTGACGAGAACAACTTCTGCGTCGCCATGGCTGCATGTTCAACTGTTCCTTCTCCACTGGAGTATTTGCAATCCAAGAAGCCATTGCAGGCTCATTTCTGTCCGTTGACGCGCTGGAGACTCTTTTGGTCTTCAGTCCTGGATACGGAGTTATCGATTCAGGTTGTGGCAAAACAATCAGTGGCTTGGAGACCCTCGAGGACTTCAAACACTTGTGGAAGCAGTTGGGGATTGAACGCCCACGACCCGAACATGAGATCAATCATTTCCAATTTGGACAGCGTGAAACATCAGCTGAAGTGATCCCAGCGCCTGCGCGTATTGCTGGAAAGTCAGGTGTCATCCGCGCAGCCATTGTTCAAGGCAAAGCGCCTTTGCTCATCTCACGCTCAGCCTTGCAAAAATTGGAGGCGACACTAGATTTCCCACTCACCCTGTCAATGAAGCTGTCACGATTCCGTTGCAGACCAATGCTGCTGGACAGTTCACCTGTCACCTCCCAGCGACGCGTCACGTCAAGAGGTGCAGTTCAATGAGGTCATGATCACACTGCCGATTTCAGCCGAAGTCGTCTCCTGAACCTGGAGTCGACAGTCCTCGCTCACCAGAGAGCAAGACCAAGGACCCTCCGTGTGAGCAGCCATGTTCTTGCCACTCCGCAGTTATACCCAAGGTGACTTGGACTTGCCAATATGGTCTCGTGAAGATAGGAATTTGGCCCTCACACCCATTACCGGCAAGAGCTCGCCGTTTTGGCACTGTGTTGTTCGTAGGGCCGTTCATGATCTAAACACTGGTGGCGCTGTCAACGATGAACAGATTGACCACCAAAAGGACAAACGCGCATATCTTCGCGCATTGCATAAGGGAGTGAACTGGACTCGAACCGATTTCCACTTCGTGCCTCAGGAAAGTCACCACACGGACCGAGCGCCTTCCAGTCCAAGTGGCTCGGAGATTTGGAGCGCGCCAAATCAGGCCGGCGCAGTCGTGGGCGGTAAACAGTTTCTGGGGATTCAGCGCTAGGGCATACGACCTTCATCTCCCGGATTTGTTGGTCTTGCGCCCACCTTGTACCCATTGAGGGTGGATGGTTCAACCTCAATTCTTGAACAATGCCGCCATGCGAGTTTTCTGAACAAATGTCAAAGCTGGCCGACAAGCCATTCTCGAGCATCCTTCTGTGGCAAAGACATGGACTAATCCAGAAGTTCTCAAGCTCTTGAAGCGACCACGACGTCAAGCGCCACATGTGTCGTTATGGTCTGAAGCTACCCGACAGTGCTCATTACATTCGCAAGTCCACACGGCCTGGGCTTGACATGTCCTGGTAAACATGATCCTATTTATATATGTCATGACGTGATTGCAGGCACCGCAGGTACCATACCCCGGCTTTCGACCAGGAACGGTCAACACGTTCTCTCTCGCGCCAACCAGGCCCACATGGTCAATGTCCTGCGCCGTGGAAGCGCATGAGGTGTTGGCAAGCCTAGCCGACCTGCAACGAGAAGCTAATGAAGCCATTTTGAAGGCACTTCATAAGCTTCAGCCAAATTTAGGCCTCCAAGATATGGTTAAAATCCTGTGGGGATCGGCGTGAAATATCTTCAGGGATGGCAGGTCAACCAAAAGGTCAAGGCTTTGAACATTGTGTGCCAAGGGATGCCAAGGGTCTTGTTATCAGTGAGTTATCAGCAGGTCATGCCGCGCTATGAAAAGGAAACGGTACAATGGGCAGGTCCCCAAAGAAATCATCATGGATACGGCGCGATTTTGGGGGAAGCCCACGCAAACCT